ACTGGCTGATATTATGTATATTTTGGGAGCTTTGGACATATATTAGCAAAGAATCTACCCAACAGAGATACATAGAACACTCATTTACCCAAGACTTATCAACACTGCTTGTTTTATTGTAAACTCTTTGCCAGATTCATATGTATGAAAACCTGTTACTATTTTAATTTTACTAATTTTCTTTTTTTTCACAAACTACCACTGAAGGGGCCAAATTATGAGATTTTATTATAGAGCCGTAGGACTGCTGGTGTTCTCTTGCCTCAAAGACCAGCAGCCTATTTTATTTAAGCTGAAACTATATCTTCTATTTCCTTAACTTGAATTTCCTGTTTCTTAAGTTGAAACCATATTTTACCATCAAAAATAACTACAACAGCCGGGCGCTGGTGGCTCACGCCTGTAATCTTAGCTACTCAGGAGGCTGAGATCTGAGGATCGCGGTTCAAAGCCAGCCCGGGCAGGAGAGACCGTGAGACTCCTATCTCCAATAAACCACCAGAAAACCGGAAGTGGCGCTGTAGCTCAAGTGGTAGAGCGCTCGCCTTGAGCTGAAGAGCTGAGGGACAGCGCCCAGGCCCAGAGTTCAAGCCCCACGGCCGACAAAAAAAAAAACAAAAAAAACCTATAACATCTAGACTACCAGTGGCTCCTGCCTGTAATCCTAACTAAATAGGAAGCTGAGACTTAGAAGTTGAGGTTTGAAACCAGCCAGGGAGAAAAATCCTCAAGACTCATTTCTAATTGCCTAGCAATATGCCAGGTTGGCCATGTGACTTAAACAGTATAGCACCAGCCAAGAACACTAACAAAGCCAGTGGCACACCCTGAGTTCAACCCCAGTACTGACCAAAAAAAAAGAAAAACAAAAAGTTGGGCACCGGTGTCTCTTTCCTGTGATCCTAGCTATATAGGAGTCTGAGAGCTGAGGATCTTGATTTAAGCCTGCCTAGGCAGGAAAGTCCATGAGATTCTTGAGCTGTGGCTCAAGTGGTAGAGCCTTTTTCAGCTCAAAGTTGGAACAGCACCCAGGCCTTGAGTTCAAGCTCCAGTACTGCAGTTGTCATTGACAGTGCCAATAGTGTTTTGCCTAATCTTAAATTTGACTTGGAGAGATTGAGGAAAGTAGGCCGTTTGGAACTGTCACAACATCTACTTGTAAAAGATGTTATCTGGGGAGAGTGTGGTGCTCTTCCAGAAGGCAACTGTGCATCACATTTATCTTAACCTGTGTTACAAGGAGAATTGAATAGATTTCACGTAATGGAGCATCTACTGGGTACTTAGCACGGCACTATATTGCCATCTGATGAGGGAACCTGACCTGGAAATAAGCTGTTACCCCAAACCAGAAGCTACCGCTCACAATTTCAGCAAAACATAATTCAAGTTGATGAGGAAAATTAATTCCTAATGGAATCAATTAATCAGGTGAGGGAATATACTGGTACATTTTGATTAGCAATCTGATTGGATTGAGGAGCATCGAACAGAGTAACACACAACTCTGAGTGTGTCTGTGAAGATGATTCCAGAGACAATTAAGAGGAGAACATTCAACTTGGCTGTGGGTGGCCATTCTTAGGGCTAGGAGCCAGAATGAAATAAATGGAGGAAAAGGAACAAACCAGTATGAGCAGCACATTCTCATCTCCCCAGCTCTCCCTTCCCCCTCCCTCTTTCTGGCTGCCATGCAATAATATGCTCTTCTTCCACTTTCACCCTTCACCATGATGGACTGAACCCTCCAATACCATAAGCCAGAAACCTTTCCTCCCTTACATTGTTTTGTTCAGGCGTTTGCCACAGTAACAAAAAGCCTGGTGAGAGGACCAGGGTGTCCGTGAACATGCCCAGGGTAAAAGATCAGGTCTTGGGGTGGAGGAACCGCCTGTGACAATAAGACAAGAACTAGAGACTGAGGTCACAAGTCACACTCTGAATATCCTTGTTAAGAGTAAGACTCTCTTAGAAGATACCCCATATTCTGCAAATGATCCCGAGATTCAGAAGAGGATGAAGATATCCTGTCAAGGACACAGCTGTAACATGACTCCCACTGAGGTAGAAGTATTCTACAGCCTTCTTGGAAGGAATCCAAGAGCTTCAGGGCTCATGTCAAAATTCTGGTGCATATAAGTTATTTCTAAGCATGTTCCCTGAAGTTGAGCTAAAGACAGGAAATGCTTTCCTGACATTCTCTCATCCTTTCCCAACCTCTAAACATGTGTTCAAGTCTGAGGCCTCTTAAGATCATCTGGAGGATGAGTAGAAGAGGTAGACAAGACTAAATGCAGAGGCCAAATACATCAAGAGAGACTTCATACATTTTTGTGGATGGACATAATTAGATATATGTCTTGGTTACTAGCTATAACTTTCAGACAAGTTACTTTGTCCTTCTGAGCTCCTGTGTCCCGACCTGTGAAATGGAGCCACAGAAACATTTTCATGCTATATATGAATGAAATACACACTCTGCATCTGACACTTCACAGATTTCCTGAAAACAGGTTTCACAGTTCTTTTCTTAAATAAAATGGAAGCCCTTCAGACATCTTCTGAAAACCTGCAGCCAGCCACACTTACTTGGGGTGTGGGAATGGATGCCTTACTTGCAGAATCTCTAAAACTATGTGGATTCAGTTTACCTCCACACCAATAAAATGCCATCATCTGTAAGAGAATGCCTTCCAAGTTGAAGCATTTTTAAATACCTTTCCAGAATCAAAGATCAAAGGCTGCTCTCCTCGGTTTGAAAGGGCCTCTTTGCCGTCCCCTCAGAGCCTCACAATCTGCAACCCGACTTGTGCCCCTAGCTGGCAGCCACACCACCCAGACCTGAGGGAACTGGAGTTTAGGCCCAATTCTTTTTTTCACTCAAGAGCCTACAAATTCTATTTCAAGCACATGCACGCACAGAACACAGATGTGGGGATGAAAACCAGGCCCTTGAGGGAGCGAGGGTATGATATTGAACTGGAACAAGGCCATAAGTGGCTCTTCTGCAGCGGTCACACCCCGAGCACGGTTGGAGCCCAGACCCAGAATGGTTTTGGCCTTTGGGTATGACATTTACAATCCCCCAGGACAGTCACCACGCCTCTCATTTGAGGCAAAACATTGCACAATCTCTGATCCAACAGGCCTGAAAGATTTTTCTCTGACTCTGAGAAGCATGTAACCACATGGACCTTCTGGAAATTTCTCTGCCTAAGGAAGCTGTAGATCATAACTGAAATAGGAAATCGAACTTCTGAGGCTTGATTTGAGACTTGGGTATTGGTCAAGGAAGGAGCCATTCTACAACAAATAAGCTAATCAAAGGCCAGGCTACTTGTGCATTTATATCTTCTAGAAAATGCTTAGAGCTTAGAGTTCAGATAGACACCTCTTCACACACACACACACACACACACACACACACACACACACACTCTACCAGTATGTTACCTGAACAAATGATTTATTCATGCACTGAACAAATATTTATTCATGGTTTACTACCTAACAGATATCCTGTATGTGTGAAGGACAACAAAAGCACATTTTAAAAAATTCCTACGGGGGCTGGGAAGGTGGCTCCGTGGTAGAGCACTTGCCTTGCATGCATGAGGCCCCGGGTTCAATTCCTCAGCACCACATAAATAGAAAAGGCTAGAAGTGGTGCAGTATTTTTCAGAAAACACCTCTGTTTTTCCTGATCTTTGTTAGCCAAATCTATCTTTTCCAAGGAACAAGTGACCAGAAACTCAGTGACTTACAATCATCGAATTGTTTATTTGTATACTATGTGCTAGCAGGAAGCAGTACTCAGAGAAGCTTAACTTTCAGGTCTATGTGGTATCTGCTGTAGTAGCTCATCTGGCCTTAGACGACCCTTCCAAAGATATTCATCCAGTAGTCCTGGCCTTAGGATGGGATGGAGGATATTCAGTATATTCAGGTCGTTCTCCAGGTGGCCTCCCCAGATGCCTAGGTTGGACTCCCCAAACTTGAGCTCTGTGAGGGAACATCCCAAGTCTTGTCTTGTTCCAGCATGGATGCCTGCAAGTGCCATCTTCATCACATTTGCTAACATCTCAATGTCCAGAATGGGCTTCTTGGCCAAACTCAGACTTGGTGTGGGAAAGGACTACACTTTACAGGGGCCTGAAACACAAAGAAATATGAGCTGGGCATGGTGGCTCATGCCTGTAATCCTAGCAACTCAGGAGGCTGAGATCTGAAGATTGTGGTTTGAAGCTAGCCCCAGCAGTAAAATCCATGAGACTCTTATCCCCAATTAACTACCCCCCTCCCCCCAAAAAAAGCCAGAAGTGGAGCTGTAGCTCAAGTGGTAGAGTGCTAATCTTGAGCAAAAAAATCTGAGGGACAGCAAGAAGGCCCTGAGTTCAAGCCCCAGGTCTGGCCTTAAAACTCTCACATTATGTGTTTTGATGCTTGTGTTTTTCCATGTTCTTTGTAAAAAGTTAATATGTCAGATTCTTCTTACAGAGAGTTTAATATGGTATAAACCATTCAACAGTTGCATATTAAAACCATGGAGCTAAGGTGGCATTTCCACTTAAAATGTTTCTAAATGGACTACAAAGACTTAAGCTCTACACATGTTCCTATTGCTGTAATGGCTAGGTCCCAGTTAATGAAAGACAGGGGAAAAACACTCCATGGGTTCAGAATGCTAAAGTATACCTTCCAAGCCCATTAAATGTTGCCTCTTGCCTTGTGCTGCTCTTCCTTGTTTGGAGTTTAACACAGCAGAAAATTAGCCTCTTTAACACCTGCCTGGACTCCAGACAACAAAAGTGGTTACTTAGGTGATCATCAGACTATGCATTCTTTGGAAAATTCAAACATCTGTCCCTTGTTGCAGGTGTTTCAAGCTAATCCCAAGTGTGTACCAGTGCAGAAGGCTAGAAATGTCCTCCTCCTTCTACTGCACATCCTGTGAGGCTGGATCAACAGCTGATAACTCTATCCCTTTCTTTCCTCGGCAGGGGTTCTCTATCTTCAGTATGGAGATGAAACAAAGCAGCTCAGGATGCCAAATGAAATCACAAGCGCAGACACGATCCGTGCTCTCTTTGTAAGTGCCTTCCCACAGCAGCTCACCATGAAAATGCTGGAGTCGCCTAGTGTGGCCATTTACATCAAAGATGAAAGCAGAAATGTGTATTATGAGTTAAATGATGTCAGGTGAGTAGTTTCTTTTTTGTTTGGCTTGGGTTTGGGTCTACGTCTTGCATTTAAGAGTTGTTTGTTGCTTGTTTAGGATTTTTCTACCATAGATTTCTCTACCATTTTGAGAGTTTGGAGCCAACACATTGGAATGCTGGAGTTTGGTCCCTCAGAGCCCTGATTTCTCTTCTTTCCAGGGAAGAAAGCACAGCCATAGTCATTAGCAGAACTGTCTTCCAAGTACAGATTCACTATCTGGCTTTCTGCAGCTTGGTTATAAGGTGTCATTTTGCAGAGATGAGGACAAATATCTGTGAAGAACTTTAAGAAGGATCCTGCCTACCATTTTGTCTACAAGTTAAGGAACCAAAGCCTGGGGAGGTGATGGAAAGACTAGGTGAGAGTTGAAAACAGCCTCTCTCAAGTGCTCTTTTGCTCTAAGCCAGAGCCTATAGATGTTTTAGATAATTTATCCTACTTTGGCCTTATTTACATCTACCATAATGGAATAAAGACAATGACTTTATATATTATGGCCCACAAGGAAAAAATGTTCAGAAGCATCCTTCCTATTTGTTTCATAAAGGACTTGTCCAATACTCAAGGGTCTCACCTGCCAGGGAAGTGTTCCCTCCAGGACTGCAATGTGAATGCACTCTAACACTAAACTAAAGGAAAAAACCAAACCAAACTGGGCTAAATGGACTCAAGTGATTACAAACATAGAGGAACAAAGACCACCAGGGACTGCAGTGGCATTGTCTATAATCCAGAAGGGACCCATTTGATTATTCCAGCAAGATAATACAAACAAGCAATGACTAGTCTAGCCTCTAAATCTTTGAACACTCAAGAAAGATTATTTAGTGACTCACCCAATCCTTTCGTTTTATGGAACCAGAAACTTGGATGGATCAAAGTCAAGAGTCTGAGTCAAGGGCACAAGGCCAATTAAGAGCCAAGCCCAGCCTCAGTCCTGGTGGTCTCCATTCTTAGTCTGGCTCACAGTAGGGTAGAATGTGAGTTTTCAGGATCCCTGACCTGTGGAAGGTTGCAAATTCTCCTATTTCTTCACATTATGGAAACAATGAATTCCATTAAAAAATATATATGCCTCTAGAGCATAATGAATGGAAACAGATACCTATCCAACAATGATGACAGGTGACACATGGCAACATGTGCCAAGGAGTCTGAGCAATTTAGAGCTTCCAGCGTTCGACACTCGCCCTTAGGTATGGGTGCTACATCTGTTGTACAACCTTCTTGCCTTTTAAACATAGGCTTAAATATTCATGAGCACCAGAAAATGGATACTTGTTTTTGAAATGAATTATTAACCATGCTGTCACCAAGTTTTTTGAATTTCCTCAGCATGAACTGAAACAACCACTTTATATTTGAAGAGTATGTTTGCAATACGATAATCCCATGTAATCTTTTTATACGGTTATGCCATTTTTCAGTCATTTTATATTTTTGCATTTACAGTTAGAGGAATGGAGAGACACAGGAATAATAAATAAGCATGGAACTGAGTGAAATGGCTCTTGATTGTGGGGAGCAAGGCTGAGAAGGAAGTTTGGGAACAGTTGACCTCCATGTCTATCCTGGAGCCCATGCAAAGATTTTTATGTTACCAGAGCCTTTCCCAAGCCTCGGAAGGGATATCATTTGACTTCCTTATTGTATCCCTTGGGAAAGTCAGAAGTAATCACAGAGAGATAGGAGGAGAGCAAAGAGGAAAAAGGCCAATGGAAATCCATTGATAGAAATAAATTGATATAAGCAGCAATCCTGTCTATTTAGAGAAGGAAACTGCTTTAAACACAAAGGATTCTCAGTTATGTTTATATGGCATAGCTGCAAAAATAATAATCTTAGTGATATTGTGATAGTTCTGACTTTGTGTGTGTGTATGTGTGTATATGTATGTATGTATGTAAGTGTGCACTCATGCGTGTATGCACAGGTACCTGCATGCACTGGTCCTGGTTCTTGAACTCAAGGCCTGGGTGCTATCCCTGAACCTTTTTGCTCTAGATTAGCACTCTTCTACAAGCTCCACTTCCAGCTTGTTAGTAGTTAAGTGGAGATAAGCCAGCCCGTCCTGGCTGGCTTCTAACCTCAATATTTAGATCTCAGCCTCCTGAATAACTAGGATTATAGACATGACCTTTCTAGTGTCAGGCCTGACTCTTTAAAAAATATCTCATGAAGAGCCTATAATCCTAGCTACTCAGGAGGCTAAGATCTGAGGATCATGTTTCGAAGCCAGCCCAAGCAGAAAAGTTTCTGTGAGACTCTTTTCCCCAATTAGCCACTCAAAAAACCAGAAGTGGAACTGTGGCTTAAAGTAGTAGAGTGCTAACCTTACGCAGAAGAAATCAGGGACAGTGCCCAGATTCTGAGTTCAAGCCCCATGACTGAGAAAAAAAAAACTCATGTAAAATTATTATGTAAAAAAATGATTGATGTATAAATTTGAGTGTAACTTTTCTATTTTTTAACATACGAAAAAATTCACCTAAAAATTGAGAAAATAGTTTTGCTTGGGTGATAAGTGTAACATTTACAAGCTAAATAATCACATATGTATCTGTGTCTAAAAATCTCTCTTTTTTTTCCAAATGGATAAGATGCTTAAATTATATTTTATTTGAATGATGGAAGAAATTTTAAGAGCATTATATAAGACAAAAAAAGTACTGTGTTGGTTTTTCTGAAGACAATGCCCTTAATCTTTTAACTTCAGAGACAAGTTTCCTTTCACATCCTTCAGTGTTCTTAAAACGAGAGCCTGTTTACTAGCCATTGGTCTATTCCATCTTTGCATTGGACTCTGCATCTTTTCTTTCGGGAAATGATGCAAAGAATTCAGGGCAGAATACTATGTTGCAAACGTTGCTATGCTAAATGTGAGATGTGGTCCCTTTCTGACAAACATGTTTCTAAATTAATCATAAACCAAACTCATGCACTTTAAATACCTTTATGATCACAGTAAGTCCTTTCCATGGCTTAAGGGAAGTTTCTAGGGTCTTTAAGTTGTCACTATGACTTAGGCTACCAAAAGGATCACTCCTTTAGTCCCCAGGTCTTCAGTCCTGGACTCCCCCCTCCCCTTTTGGCTCAGCCCCTTTTAATAGCAAAGACTATGGGCTCCCCTCAAGCAGACTTCTAATGAGCGACTTCAAGCGTAGAGCACCCATGCAAGCTGGGACTAGTCATTGCTTCAAAGAAACGACTGGCAGATATTTAAAGGAGACACACCAGACTAGCTCAAGAATCTTCCACTTCATTTTAAGCAAAAACAGCCCCTGGTGAGCTCAGTGATTGTGAGGAGCCCACTCAGTGTGTGGCTGTACCTGGAAAAAGGGGTTTTGCCTTTCTACCCACAATCCTCCCAGCTTGCCCCGCTGGCACTGGAAGGAATCAATGTAGACAAGGCTGGATGGGCCTTGGTTGACCCTTCAGAGTGGCCCGTGGAGGTTCCAGGACTTCGTGGACATTCTGGCACTCTTAAATAATTTTAAGGTAGGCTTTGAGCGAGATGCAGGACTTCTGTCCTTTCTCTTCTGCTCTCTGAGCTTGGATCTAAAGGAGAAAAGAATTTGCTGCTTTTCCTTTTGTCCTGTAATTCAGTTTGTACATAGTGAAGTGTCTTTAAAAACCCACTGTGCAAGAAAATAAAGGCACTGTGAAGATAGTAGTTTTGATCTCTGTTGTACTTTTCCTTTTCTAGACTGTATATGTATTGTTTCCTTTGCCAAACAAGTTTGAAAGGATTAAAAAAAAAAAAGGAATTTTGGGTGTGTATTCATTAGATAAGGAGCAAACCAGGTTTGGGCAAAGTAAGTCAAATATTTAAATATTAACCAATTCTCTTTGAATGAACCTATTGGAGCTTTATTGCTTTTGAAAATGTTAGTTTTCCACCATAAACAGCTTGAAAGACATTTCTTTTCACCTGACCTTTATGAGTGCATAACTACCTTGAAAAAATTATGCCTTCCCCAGGAACCAGACAAGAAAAGCAAAGCTAAAGCCATTTTTCTCCTTTTCCCCTTCATTTATATCTGCCAGTTTTATGGTGAAAGACCTTTTTGTCTGGCTTGTGGTAGACAACCAGCAAACTGTCTGTTCATGCTTCTACCTGATCCTTTCAGATCAGTTGAGGAAATGAGCCAAATGAGGCTCCTCTCATCTGCCATAGTTATTGATGTTTTTGATTTTAGGAACATCCAAGACAGATCACTCCTCAAGGTGTACAATAAGGACCCTTCGCATGCCTTTAATCACATGCCACAAACGGTGAATGGAGACATGAGGGTAAGTCAAGCATTGCTGTTGAATTGTTAACTTCATTCGTCTGGTCAAGCTCTCCTGGCTTCTTGCCCCACTTCAAATGTATAATCATACCCCTCTACCAGATTTGCCAGGGGTTCTTAACCATTTGTCTTGGCTCATGGTTTATTATTTGGTAGAACAATACAGCTTCCTGGTCGTTGGGACAAAGGGATTGGAATGGAAATGAATACAACCTAATTCATCTCTAAGCAGGGAGTTTAGTTTTCATTATTCATTTCTTGGATAGTGCTAAGGGGAATATGTCCCCCTCCCCCACGTGCTAGGTGAGCACTCTACAACTGGGTTTCACCCTTACACTGTAAGCCTGGGGCTTAGGCAGACAGAGCCTCACGCATTGACTTACTCAGAGGCTCTCTTGCATTTTTTTTTTTGCCTGATGGAAACAGAATTAACAAGAATAAACAAATTTCATGGGAAATCGTTGCATGCTCTTACATTTTTCTATAGCCTAGTGTATTCATGTAATCAGTCACCTTCTGATTGAGGCTTAATTTTGGCTATACTATATTATAGGTTATCACATCTTCCCTGATCTATGCTGAGGGCAGAGGGTGAATACCTGTAGAATCTGGGTGGTAAAATTCTCTAGGTTTGGGTCATATCAGGAGATGAGATAAACATTCACAGTGCTAGCGGATGTTTTGGAGGAAAAGCACGGGGAAACTTTTAGTGGATTTTAAGATCTCACTAATGCAAGTCTACTAGAAAGGAATTGCATTTCAAACAACAATGATATGCTTTTCTGAAGTAAAAATGGGATGGGAAAATAAAAGACTAATTTCTTGGGTGTATACTGATCAGAGTGGGGGGCGGAGGGGGAAAGAGGCTGCTTTATTAGCCCTCTGTTGGATACTAGAGTTTAACAAAAATAATGAATGGGTTTTCCTAGTATGCCTAGGTAGGTAGGCATCTACTGTCCTAGAGTAGTAATATCATTCCTAAGTTCCTTTCTTTCCTGATAGTGTACATTAGGTGTTTTTGTTTTTGTTTTGCTGCTATAACAAATTATGACAAATTTATTTCTTAAAACACCATAAATTTGCCAGGTGCCCATGACCCTTGCTTGTAATCCTCCTACTCAGGAGGTTGAGATCTGAAGATTGAGGTTCCAAAGCCAGCTCAGGCAGGAAAGCCCATGAGACTCATCTCCATGGCTTAATTTTTTGGTAGAGTGCTAGCCTTCAGCAAAGAAGCTCAGGGACCGACAGGGCTCAGGCCCTGAGTTCAAGCCCTAGGACCTCTACATGTTCCTGCACATATATTTGCATGAGCATGCATTCACATATACACACATAATACCATAAATGTACAATCTTATAGTTCAGAATGTGTGGAATGATAGGATTTCACTGATCAGCAGAGCTGTGTCTTTTTCTGAAGGCTCTGGAAAGAATCTATTTCTCCTAAATATTTCTAGATCACCCAGAAATTACCATTTTGATTTGCAATCCCTTTCTTCCATCTTCAGACCTAGTAAAATAACATCCCTCCTCTTTGTTATGTTTCTAACCCTCTGATATCTTTTGGGTGTCCTGTTTTGTTTCTCCATGCCGGGGAGTAAATTCTAGGCCTAATGCTTGCCAGGCAAATACTCTACTGCTTGAGCCATGCCTTCAGTCCTTGCTTTGCATTGTTTATTTTGGGGACAAGATCACCCTTTATGCCTGGGCCAAGCCTGGGAGACAAGCCTCCTATTTAGGCTTCCCTGTGTTGCTAGCGATGATAGGTGCACACACTGCTCCCAGCCACTGGATCAGATGGAATCTCAAGAACTTCTTTTTTGCCCTGGCTGACCTTGAACCTTGACTCCCCTGCAGTCTCCACCTCCCAAGTAATGCTGTCTACTTTCAAGTCACTTAGGATTACAGTGGGCCTCTTCAATACTCCAGGAAAAAAAATACTTTTCCTGTTTTAAGATTAGCAAGCCTAATCTCCCTCTCCCACATAACATCTTAGTGGGTTCATGGAATTAGGATGCATGTGTGTTTGGAAACCACAGCACTACCTTCCACATAGAGTATGTGAGTTTGGAACCAAGAAAGGGGCCAGGAGGTATAACGGGACAAATGTGCCAGGGGAAGTTTTGTGTAATTCTGGATTCGAATGGAAGACATGGTCTAGAGGAAGCAGAGCCAATAGTGAGGGAGGAAAAGGTCTCTTCCCTCCTCATCTGCTTTTTTATGTCTAAAGTGGTATATGATTAGAACCAAAGGCCATGTAACTACTTTAGAAAACCTAGGATTTTGAGGTTTGCTTTTAGCTAGTTCCATTTTAAATGTAAACCAGAGCCACATGAAGACAGAGGATTATACCAGTCATAAAGCATGGGTGAATGTTACGAGCCCCTTTGCCTAGCATGGCTGGTTTGTTCTTCCTTTGTTATATTCATATGTCTTGTTTTTGCTTTTTTTTTAAAATTGTTTTTATATCTAGCCTTTAACCTGGACAATGTCTTACCCTGAGTTGTTTCTATCATGTACAGCCAGTCTCAGACCAGCCTCCCTCTATTATTCTTTTAGAATCTCGCTTGTGGTGGGGAAGGACAACTGTTTTAACTCTTAGGCACATGTGGTTCTTAAATAAAGATCTGCTAGGAGAATCCAGAGCATCAAATATTAACCATATGCACAGAGCCTATTAAAATGTAGCTCCTTTTGCTATGGAGTTCAGCAGAGCACTTCCGATTTAATTCATAAAGGAAATAGTTTGTGTGAAAAAATAACTATTGTCCCCCAATGAAGGGACAATAAGTGTTCAACATCTAAGCAACAGAAGAGCTTTTACGTTTCAGTGAAAGCTACTTAGAAATGAGGAAATAAGAAGCATTTCCAAGCCAGCTAGTTACCATCATTATACTTGCAGTTTGGAACTTGGCCCCCATTCAGATTCCTGAAACTTAAAGCCATTGAATTCCTTCAGCCTTACCTCTTGGCTCTAGAAATTGGAATTCTTTCTCTTCTTTCCCTGCATGTGTCCGCATTGCCATGAAAGAAGGGAGGTTGGTATTGCACTCTGGCTGCAGCTCATTGCTAGTGGTGATTTGCTGAAAAGGGAACAGCTAGGATCAATTGTTGTAGACTAAACCAAGCTATATGATGAAGTTCGGGGCAGCTTGGTCCTCCTCCCATGTGAGTGTAATGGGAACTTGGCCATGAAGGAATTACATGGTAACCACTCCATGCATCCATCTCTGTGGTCCTGCCCCTGATGTCATCAGACTTCACTCACCAGCTTCCAGACAGTCTGGGAGGCTATCCCCGCAGCCCACTCATTACCAGTGAATGTGTGCATGACATCAGTTGGAACAGAAAGGTATATAACACCAGCAGTACAAGGACTCTTGTGGTGGCCTCTGAGATTCTCTTTAAGCTGTGAACTTACTATTTTCCCTTGGAATGAGAAGCAATGTTAAGAATGTGCATCTGAAATTTACAGGCATGTTTTTGGGATAGAATGGTGCCCCCAGGAAGCGTGATACACTAAAATATTCACTCTGAGGTTATGGGCCTCGGAGTGTGCATGGAATTTTATGCATGGTGGGAAAACATGTGTTATTCTTTAGCATCTAGTTGAGCATTTTTGAGGTTCCTATAGCTAAAGAAACTTGTGATGCTTCACTGGAACTGAGCATGCCCAAGTCCTGACTCCATACACTTGAATGCCACTCACCCTAGTCAAATTTAATCACTTGCTTTTTGTATCCTTACATCAGATAGTAGTCTTGACAATTCCCTTCTCAGGGGACCCAGCTCACCATATGGGACAGGACTTTTTGCATGCATTATATATGTACATGAATTCACAAATTATGTACAACTCAAGGTAAGCCATTCCATTTCACGGCACACAAAGGGACTTGGTAATTTCCTACTTTCCAAATCTGGTCACTTTTTCATAGTTTGGACACTTCTTTGCCCTCTATGTACGTAGAGATTACGATTATGTCCCAAGGTTCTCTCTTGCCATCATTACTGAGTCTCTCTCTATTGTTCCCCATGATTTTCACTTGTATAAAAATCACTCCTATGGCTTGTTTGTTTTTTTGTTTTACACAGACAACTACTAGATTTGCGTTTAGAGCACACTCTCCAAAGGTGCCCCTGCATCTTAAATTATTTTCTTAATACCGGAACCAATAGCTGCTTGACAGTCGCCTTCTGATAGGGCTTTGTTTTGGGTGCTGAACAATGGCCTCTAGAAACCCTGGGTTCCCATTCCACTACCACAGGCGAGCATACCCCAGCCTTGCTTATGGCTAGTCCCTCTTCCCCTTACACCCAGGTGATTGTATTGTGGTCAGGCAACTTTTACTAGTGGGGAATTTGGGGGTTTTATTTATTGTTGTTTGTTTGTGGTTCTTTTTTATCTGAGTCTTGGTCCTGGTAACTTTTATCTTAATACTGATTTTACTACTCTGTCGGTGTAAATGGTTCTTGAAATGACATAACTAGTTCTGCCATATATAGAATGCAAGATCCAAATGTTGAACTTTTCAAGTCTTGATCTTCACAACAATATTCTTCCAGGATTTCCTACGTAACTTGTTTTATTTTCTACAAGCCTTTCTCCTCCTTGATTCCTTTGAAAGATGAAGGGGCTGTGTCTAGTGATGGTGTTGGTGAAAATGTGTGAATGTGTTCAGATGTATATGTGTTTGGGGGAGTAAGGGAGCTGGGATTTAAAATGTTAAGATATTGATAGTTCTTCTCAATGGCTGACTCTTGTTCTTAAAAATATTCCACCAGTCACCAGAGCTCCTTCATGTCACTCTGCCAGGTCCCTTATGGTGACCGCTCTGTTGTCTTGAACACCAGTAATCTTGCAGTAGCTAAGACATTTGGACATTGAGCACTTCCATAGATAATTTTATTTAACATTCAAAGCCAAAATTTTGGGATTTACATTTGTAGAAGTCCTCATATTTAGAACTGATGAAACTCATATTTATGTTAAGCAATGAG